TTGGATAATTGTATGGTTGATTGCTACTGGTCTGTTGAAAGGAATAGTTAATACTTAATTTTTACCTTCTTTCAATTTTTTGGACCAATTTTGCATGCTTATATCTGGTATTGTGAACAATTACTTTGAAGACAGCAATATGCAATGTAACAACCATTGTTGAATTTTTTAAAATGCCTCTGCGTGTTAAACCCAAAACTATAAACCACTATCCCCATAGGAGTCAGGCCATCTATGCATAAGCCCTTAATAAATAAATCACTCTATGAAATGAAAAAGAAGTTCATACTACTAAAAGCTGTGCTACAGCTTATTTCAAAGGGAACAATAGGACTGAGTAGAGAGAATCATATTTATAGTAACATTTTTTCAGCATATGTTGCAACTAGAGATATTATATTAGCTCTAGTTGTATATTACTTGCAAGAATATGTATTTACTAGATTAAAAAATAATAAATTGATTCAAACAGGCAAAAATTAAATCTGAATACTTTTTAAATGTTCTTTATATACATAGATATCTCACTAAGTGCTGTGCTTCATCCGCAGTACTGAAAAAAAGAAAAGTACTCACTTTCTCTTCTAATAGCATCTACTTGACCTTGAAGTTTCATTTTCATTTGTGTTTATTCTGTCACTATTTTACTGGGATTATTAGCAGTTAACACAGATTCTGTGCTCACCAGAACCAATGATACCACATTCCTTTGATTTCTTAGATGATGATAAACTTTAACTTTGTTTTTCTTTTCATGTCATCAGCAGCATCCTTACAGAGAACTTCTACCGGAGTCTTTTCCTTATTGTCACCAAAGATTATGTTGGTAAAACAGAATTAGAAATAAGATAGTGTTTTAAAAGAACCAAACACTGGATGTGATTGTACTTATTTGTAATCCCAGCTACTTGGGAGACAGAGGCGAAAAGGTCCTAAGTTTTGAGACCCTGTCTCAAATTACATGAAGCTTTTGAGACCTGTCTCAAAATTAAATAAGAAAGGCTGAAATGTAGTTCAGTGGTAGAATGGTGGCCTACCATACACAAGGACCTGGGTTTGAAGTCCTGTAAAGCACAAACACACACACACACACACACACACACACACACACCCCAAAATAAGTAAAAATAAACTATACCATAGTGGACTATCATCAACAATAAACAATATCATATCATAGGGATATATGTGTGCCTATGTTCATAGCAGCACAATTTGTGATAGCCAAATCTTGGAAACAACCAAGATGCCCATTACCTGAGGAATGGTTGAGAAAGATGTGG